ATTAAGTTAATTAAGTTAATTTGGAGAAAAAGCATGTCAATAAATTATATCTTTGTTGGACAACAGTTTTGTCATACTCATCTGTCGCACACAGAAATATGTCAACAACTAGACTTTATCGTTATTATCGCAGGAAGACTAATTCTTATCGTGGGGAGAATTTTTACCAGTATATCGCAAACGATAAGATATCGCCCATCCCTATTGATGACAGACTACCTAATTCGAAGTGTAAATCTATTGTCATAAGGTGGCAGAAGCAGCATTATAGTGCAATAGTAGTGACCAGTGTTGGGCAAGTTACTTAAAAAAAGTAACAAGTTATAGTTACTTGTTACTTCTCACAAATAGTAACTGAGTTAGTAACTGAATTACATAATTATAAAAGTAACGAATTACCAGGGAAAGTAACTATTTCGTTACTTTTTTTTTTAGATGTTCAAATATGTCAAATAACTTGGATGCCTCCAATATTAAATGTTAGATGAATGAAATGGACACTACATGGAATAAATTATTATTTTTAAACATTGTACAATACAAATGTTTAATAATGTTTAATACAAAACAACAATTTAAAAATACTTATTTAACACTGAACTTGTTTTTTTTTACATTCTAGCAGACATTATACCAACAAAGCACAATTTAATTTAAAATGAATAAGTTAGTGAAATAATATTTTGTGGCCATTTTTGAGACCCCCTTCTTGAATCAGGCATGCAAATAAACGCAGCCTTGCTGAGCAGAAGCAATTATTTGAGCAATATGTGTGAATGTTATAATAAATGTATTAATAGAGCTGTTGTAATTATTACCATTATTATTGTCTTTTTAATTTTATTGAACAGAACAACAGTAAAATTACAATACTAACATTTATGAATGTTGATGGAGCTTTTGTTTTGACGGAAACCCACAGGAAGTCCTCAGTGCTTCTTTTTGTTGACAGCAGCAGATTTATAAATTATTCTCATTACTAATTTGGGAAGATGAACGTATCACATTGTCACATGCCTTGTAAAAGTTCAGAAAAATGTTACTGAGCAACTGACGAGTAACACAGTTTCAGCGCAGATTTCCCTCGCGGTTTGGACTTTGAATATGGCTAACGAGCTCGAGCAGCGCTGTTTGAACGTATGCAATTCATGCGTGTATTAGAAAACATAACGTTCTGCAGTTTAATTAAGGCCATTTTGCGATTTTTCCGAATAATTTCGGCTGGCGAACATTCGGTGCATCCCTAGTAAATATGTCATTGCGCTGCTATATCATTGATATCGCGATATGACACTTTTTTTATCATGTAAAACTGTATACCGGGACTTCCGGTTATGGCGCGGTGCTGAGTGGAACGCGAATCGGAGCTCCGCAACAAATACTGACTTAAATTTTCTTCTTTAACTCAACAAATGTTGACAGACTGATTCCATTTTGAATTCGGATACATCTTAACGTTCCAAGATGCCACCAAAACCAATGAAAACTACACAGAAACAAGTCAAATCGACCGTACCTGGAGAGGTCGAGGCAGATGCTAAATCCAATGAAGCTAATAGCGAGGAGGCAGCGTCAGGTGTTAGCCAAGAGTCTGCAATCCTTGAAGCTATCCACTCACTGAAATCGGACTTTGCTGTGCGATTTGATGGATTGCTCCAGGCGAGTGCAGTGCGATCTTAAAGCTCTCACAACACGGGTAACAGAAGCCGAGGATCGAATAGGCACTCAAGAAGATAACGTCACAGAGTTGCAAACGCAGAACGCAAAATTGAAAACTGCCATAGAATCTCTTTCATTAAAAGTCGATGATCTGGAAAATCGCAGTCGTCGGTCCAATCTACGATTAGTGGGACTTTCAGAAAAAATCGAGGGGAAGGATATGTGTGCCTTTTTAGCGAAATGACTCCCTGAGATCCTCGGTCCGGAAAACTTTCCTGGCCCTCTTGCAATTGAGAGAGCTCACCGAATCGGTAGATTCTCCGAAGATCGTTCTGACTCTCCACCGAGAGCCGTGATAATGAAATTCCTAAACTACGCTGACAAAGTCCGTACCCTCAATGCAGCTCGAGCAAAAGGCACAGTGATGAAGGACGAAAGAAAGCTTATGTTCTTTTCTGACGTGTCAGCTGAACTGCACAAGAAACGGAAACGATTTGACCCGGTGAAGAAGGATCTTCGCGATCTCA